TGACTTTTGAATTGATTTTATCGCTCCATTTTAAACTAATTTGAAATTTTAAAAATTGCCTGCACATCAGTATCAAAATACCTTTCTAATGATATATAATTGTCTATACCTTAGAATTATAGTTTAGCCGTAAAAGGGGTGTAAAGGAAACATGATTGCCTATTTATATAATGATATATTTTTTCTCTTTTTATTCTCTCTCTTGCCTTTGTCTTCTAATTTCCTAGATTAGAAACAAACAACTGATCACACTGGCCGCACATGTTTTTCTAACAAGTACAACAACAAATCAAAATAGCTCTCACTTGTATCAAGACTACAAGGCCATTGCAAATATAACAAGATTTTTAGAAAACCGTTGGGACTCGTAAAATTATAACAAATACATAAAATTGTTTAGATTGCAGTCTAATTCTTAGCAACTTAAGCCACTGGGGCAACGGGCAAATGAGCACCCTGAGGTTGGAAACCGTTCTCATCGGCGATGTAGTTGACGGTGTAGGTTACGCCGTCATCACCAACGAAACTGTATGAGCCACGGACAGCAATGGCCTCGGTTTCGCTTCCTACGTCGTTGAGTACAGCATCAGCATTTTCCTTGATACCATTGCTAGTCTCATAACTGCAAAGAAGAATAAGAAAAATATTAGTTTCGTTGTAATTCTAAATTTTTTTGGTAAAGAAAGGTGCCTCTTTACAAAGGCTTGATATGGGAACACTTACGCGTAGTTGAATCCATCGGCTTTCACGTCGGAGTCGAAGCGCACGACTTGCGCATCAGAATCGGCTGGGGCGGCAAAGGCGACAGCGAAGAGAGCAACGAATACAATGACGAATTTCATTTTGTTTGATTTTGAGTTTGACGCGTTTATGGCGAAGGATAATGCTTTTTGAGACTAGCAAATTGCGAATGATGACATTTTGAGGGCGGTGGTGACAATATATACTATTTTGATTAGCTCGATTGACGGTGAAACTAGTTAGTTTTAACATTTTTTCTCCTACCTACCAAGAATTCAAATAACTCGTATCATCTCTGTACTATTATGAGTATTTTGTTTTTGGAATTAATTGTTTAATCAAAATACATGTACGAAATAAGCTACATTCTTAGTATGAAGTGAGAAGCATGCAGTAGACGCTCGTGCATAATTTGTAGATTTTTAAATAGATTATTCAGAATTGTCCCCAAACTAGATAGAAATTAATGCAAATATTTGCAAACGCATGGCAACAAAAAAAAATCATTAAATATAAAATGCTGCTTTGCGGTAAATACAAGTTCCTGTGTACTTGTGAAGGCAGGGCTAGCGCGTGGCGAACTCGACAACAAAGTTGCAGCGTAAAACATAGAGAAAATAGAGAAAATGCGTCAACGGCAGATGGCAGAATTATATGCAGCATATCGTTCATTCATTTTAACATGAAAAGAATTTATGGATCATTGTTTTTTTCTTAAACTTTTTCCTATTAGTTTTAACCGATTCAAAAAAGGAACAGCCCAGCGCCTTCGTCTTTGTCTCCGATACAGCCGCTAAATTTAAACGTAGAATACGTGGTAAGGTGAAGAGCATATCCAAGTCATAACCGAAAGTTCGCACTAAGAAAACAAAAGCGATAATAATATCGATAGCAAAATCGACAAAAACATCGATATTAAAATCGATAATAATATCGATAGCAAAATCGGTAACAAAATCGATAAAAAATTGATAGAAATATTGATAACAAAATCGATAACTAAATCGATAACAAAATCGATAAAAATATCGTTAACAAAAGCGATAACAATATCAATAGCAAAATCGGTAAAAGTATCGATAATAAAACCGATAAAAATATCGATAACAAAAGCGATAACAATATCGACAACAAAACCGATAAAAATATCGATAACAAAATCGATAATGATATAGATAGCAAAATCGATAAAAAATCAATAACTAAATTGATAAAACAACCGATAACAAAATCGATAAAAAATATCGTAAACATAATCGACAAAAATATCGATCACTACATCGATAAATTCCGAAAATATCGATAGCAAAATCAGTAACAATATCGATAACAAAATCGATAAAAATATCGACAACAAAAGCGATAATAATATCGATAGCGAAATCGTTAACACCATTAATAAAAATATCTATAACAAAACCGATAAAAATATCTAAGACAAAATCGATTAAAATATCGACAACAAAATCTATAAAACTATCGACAACAAAATCTATAAATATATCGATAACAAAATCGATAGCAAAATCGATAAAAATATCGATAAAAAAATCCTTAAAATGCTCAATATTTGTTGAATTTATATAAAATCTGTACACGATAATATTTCTATTGCTCTAAATCTCTATCCTGAAAACTAAAGTTATATCTGCAAATCGTAAGCTGCTGGGGCACCTTAAAGGCTCAAAATTGACCTCAAAATAAGCCAATGTTTACCGTTCTTTTTACGACAGAAGCCGAATTGGTTACTTGCAAAAATGAATCGACCGAATTTCATCTTTAAAACGCCTCACTTTTCTTTGAAATCGCTTCATTAGTTCTCGTGCAATAAGCGTTTTCGTGAAGCTCTAAAAAATTACAACTACAACATTTCAGCATAGCCTCCATATCGAAACGTAAGACGTATTTTACGTCAAACACACGAAAGAAATAATTAATAGTAGTGCCAATGTGTGTTTGGAGTTGCTTGTTGTAATATTGCATTTAAAAAACCAACTTGTGGATAATCTAGTACAGTGATTCCCAAAGTGGTGACGGTTCAGGGGCCACGGGAGACCCGGCGAAGGTCTACGTTGGCGTGACAAAAATGGGAGTGTACAAGTTTTAAGCGGGGGTGGAAGGAAATCTATCTGCTTTCGATAGTAAAGAATACAAATTTTGGCTTGGCTTTACTTATCAATGTAGACTGATATATAATATATAATATATATATGTAAAGTAGGCAGATAACACTTCCAAATTAATTAAGGGAGCAAAAAAAATTTAAAAATTTTCGGTGATTTTAGACAGGCTGTTTTCGGTGAAAAATGGTCCTGTTGAGAATTAAAAACAAAACCCACTTAGAAGCCTATAATTTTCAGAATAGAATATGAGGAAATATACTACATTAATTTTTTATTTTTACCACTCCGAATTTAAAATTTGAAATCAATGTAGGCGGAAATTTCCATTGTTAGATGCATTCTTCAAATTTTTTTAAGAATTTTGGGAATATGGTGAAAATGTAGCAGCAGCGGGTCCACCGAAACAAGTAAAATTATGAAAGTGGTCTACAAGAAAGTTTGGGAAAGTCTGATCTAGTAGATTAAGCAAACAGTTATATTTGAACCTTTTTGGCAGTATACATGAGTAAACATTTTCTCGAATGCAAATTTTCACCAACTCAATATTTACTTTTAACTACTTATATAGAAGTAATTACTTTTTAATATATTTAAATGACACCCTCCAGCCAGAATTTTTTCCATACCAAGAAAATTTTACTATTCAAGCAACTTATTTATTTTAATATGTATGTTTGCACCTAACCATTATTGCTCCGTATGGTTTACCTTTTTTTTGTTTCGTCGCTGAGTTATGTTCGCACACATGTTACTTAGTTTACATACACCCAGTAGAAAAATTCTACAAACTTGAAGCTTGAAATATTTTTTGTGCCTTCAGAATGGCAGAGAAAAAAACCACATAGTGAGAAATACATTGGGAGTAATAATTGTGAAATACTTGTGACCATAAATCCTATTCCTTAATTATTCACTTTCAAACAACATCCCTTTATTGCGAGAACTGAAATCCAGGAAATTCGGCTCATAAAAAAATTTAATTCTTCTAAAAGCTGTCTTATAGCTTTTCAACAGAGTGTGCAGCCAACGATTAAAATAGATAAGTGCGTCTATGTGTGAACTTAATTAACATACAACAATAACTACAACAAAGCATAGCATCGATAATGCTAATATATGTATATGTACGTCTAGCAACGAGAAGACAACAAGAAGACAAGAAAATCAAAAGCAGCTACACCACATCGATACGCTAATTCATTTACATACATTAAAATGTTTACTCTCGTTATACATGGGTTTAAGTATATGTATGAAGTTGTATACATATACGGCATCTGCTTCTATATAATGATGACCTTCAAAACATCTTCGGTGGCCGCGGTTTGTGTGGCATCATTTTCAAACTGAGCTGACGTCTTCGAAGCATTTTTTTTTTCTTTTGGTTTGTATTTTTTTCACATCACTTTCGATAGTTACCCTTGAATTTGGTTTTGTTTTTTGTTTTTCTTTTTTCTTTTATTTATTTTTATTTGATTTGTTGTCATTGTTTTGCGTGATATGCAAATGACTCTTTTTTTTTTAATATTCATATTAGCAGGCAAGCAGTATTTCTGTCATAAATAAAATGTTCATAAAATTAATTTAAATAGACTACACT